TCTTGCTTCTCCAAGATTTGTTTCCCGACAGTAGACCGCACGCCTGCTTCCAATGATTCCACCCGCTCATTCCAAAGCTTTATCAGGAGCACTAGCGCGCTCTCCATGAAGTCAAAGTCGAGCTCTTCTCCTGCTTCAATTCGATCCATGGCTATGTGTTCCAACGCAGATGCCAGTGGCCTTGGCACAACATGTAGACCTTGATCCTTTCCAAACTTGCTTCCAGTCCATTTCTTTGCGCTGATGTTCAAGACCTCCCTCAAGCTATTCGGGACCTCACTGTGCAGTTTAGCCAATCTCGGAGCGTGCTTCACCATCAGGTCCCAAGATTGCCGTTCTCGTTGTCCACCCCAATGAGACTTACTGAAGCAGCCTTGGTATGCACCTGCTCTACGATGTCTTTGAAGGAAGTGTTTCTCAGGATGGCGAATGCTGGGATCTGATTTGATTGTCTCAAAGTCCTGAGCTCTGAAGGCTAGGGTGTGGTTTCATCACTGGTATATTCTAAGCGCGCAAAATTATAACAAAGTACTATATACAAGGTTGGAAAATATATATATAAAGTCAATCAAGAATCTTCAAACAATTTCATCTTTGCCCAAATGCTGATGCAAGGTTTCTTTCCTTCTCGTGAAACCTTGGCTTTGGCAACATACCTTCTCTTCTTGGGCGGTGAAGAACCTCTTGCCTTCTCCAAATCATGGCTCTTGGTTGGTGGCCTGCCCCGCTGTCGCTTAGCATTGCGGCATCTAAGCTCCTCAAGCCCATCCAAAGTAGCTACTCCAGACGTGTAAGCATTGGAGGGGTTGGTTTTGCCATAGCATCTGCGCAGTCTCTTTCTCTCCTGCACTTGCACGATCTGGTTCTCTTTGGCTGGTTGCACGATCTGATTCTCTTTGGTTGTTTCCAACTGTGTTTCATCCGGCAGGGCTTCAAAAGAAGAGGATGCCCTTTTCAATGAGCCACTGTTGACAGAGACCGATCGCAGTCCGCTTTGAGATGATGTGTTTTGATCAAGACTGGAGGTTTCATCAGCTGACTCATCCTCAGCGTCTGCTGTGCACAGGTTAGACTGGTTGGTCAAGCCATCCCAGCCCTGAGAGTGTATCAATGAAGCAATCACCTTGGCCTGCGTGCAAGTTGATGCGAAGGCATTGCCTGCTAGACATTGGGCAAGTGATGAGTTCTCCTCCAGGATACTGTCTACAGCAGCAGGGTTTGCAAACTTACCCTTAAACATGCCCTGTGCTGTCCACATTTCGGAGACCGTGACAAACCTTTGGAGCTTCTGAGAGAAGATCCCGTGCGTTGGTCGAACACATGTCAGGGCATTCACATTGTACTCAGCAGCGCGGGAGTTGCTGGTGCTTGCATCGATGAAGATGTTCTGCGACTGCGCTTTCAAGCATGCATCCTCCAAAGCTTCCTGCAATTTGTCATTCACCCTCCCTGCGTGCACAGGCTGTCTTGGCAAGGGCTCATCAAACACAAGCTCAAAAGGTATCAATGCGTCTGAAGACATCATCTCCATGGTTTCTCGCATGTGCCTTTGGTAATCAGCAGCATTCTGGCCTGAATTCACATCACCAGTGGCATAGACACGGTTTCTCCTTTGAGGCAAGAGATAGTTCTGGGCATCAACCTTGGTCCACTCGAACACATAGCCAAGTTCTGCAAGGTCTCTCTTCATTACCTGCCAGAAGTGAAGCAAAGTGTGATATATATTATTTTTAAAAATATATATATATATAACTACAATATAATGTTCAGGAACAGTTTTGACCTTCGCAACACAGGTGGAGTAGTCATATATTCATACATATATATATATATAGAGTGGCATCCTGACAGATAATATATATATATGTTCAAAAACTGACACATCATGACATATTCTATGTGCATTCTGAATGACAACCTCGCCTCCGTCCCAGGTTCAACTTTCACTCCATCAATTTTTGGCTCTTCACACACACCAAGGACATTCTCAAAAAAAACACAACCGCTGGATTGATAACCCGCGTGGCGGCAACCAGTCCGTGGAGGTAAGTGTAGCCGCTGCTTCCATCTCCGGTGCTGTAGCACTGCTTGAAGGCATCTCGTCCGTTGAACATCTTACTTAGGCTTTTGCAAGACGGCCCGCAAAACAGCAAATCAATATCTTGAGGAACACCGTGAACGCAGTCACATGTGTAGCAATGGCCAGAAAGATCAAATAACACACGGACATCGGCAAAGAGATGATATTTTGCTTTCTGACCAGGATCAGTATGGGCAGCCATGATGAAATCCCGCTTGCTTGGCTCGACTTCAACGCTGAATTTGTGCTCCACTGCAATGCTCACCTGAACTGCCCAGAACGAATATTAACATTATCAAAAACAATGAAGTCAACACATTATCTACATATATAAAGAAAACACACGTCAGCTCAAGAAAAAGCTTTACGCCCAACCCGAATCCACTTTATTTATGATATATATGTATATAAGTATGTGTGTATACAAAGATACATTTTGCTGTTGAAAAGCTGTCAAAGAACATATTTTTGTATAACATCAGCATAAGTCACCCCAAACATCTCTGACAGCTTCTGCATTGTGGATTTCATGATGCACACACAGATGTCACTTCCACTGCACGTACTACCAATAGATATGGTTTGGCCATCAAGCTTGTGAAGACGTTCTTTGAGCACACCCAACTCATGTTCAGGTAGCCTCCGGACAAAATATTTGCACGTCTCTGCCAGGTTTGGACCAGGGAGTAGTACAGCATAGTGAAACGGCAACTCCTCTAGGTTGGTCCAAAAAGAACGTCCTCTAAGGTTTGGCGCTTGCAATGGTCCCTCAAATTTATCCAGGTCATCAATGATCCAATTATGCAGGCATTTCTTTTTCTGGTTGGATCGGTCACACAACAGTCGGTTGCGCCATGCCTGCTTCTGAAGCTCAGTGGCACCTTGAAATTCTTTGGTGAACCTGAGCTGGGCAAAGGTGGAGATGATCTCAACTCTCTGGAACTTGGCCTTCCCGACAAGCTTGGATTGTTGTCAGCTCTCCATCAAACCTATGGTTGTGCCACTGAGAAGCTTGTGCTTCCAGCTGAGTATGATGCTCTTATTGTTGGCTTGGTAGGACTTGCTGAAGAGGTGCTGCAAACACTCTCCAGGCAATCGAAGCACAAAACAATTTTGGGTGGCTATATTGTCTGTGCCACTGCTATTCAGAGCGCTGGCCTCACAAGCAGTTGTAGCTGGCTCTGGCGAGTGCGCTACTGCTGTTGCGGTTTCTTCTGACAACGCTTCTACTTGTTGTTGTTTTGCTTTTGCTTCTGCAAATGGGTCAACTGTGTCAAAGACCAAGTTCTCATCAGCTTCAGGCTGAACAGCTTTGAAGAGCTTCTTTAACGCACTAACCTCACTGGTTTGCCACTCCACACCAGAGAAAATCAATGACTTTGGACAATGCTGTGTGGCTGCACTTGCCTGTGGTGTGCGCTGTTCTGGAACGCTGGAAGGATATTCTATGCGCACTGCTGGTGGAGACTGGGCTGCTTGTGCTGCTTGCGGTGGTTCTGATGCCTGCTGGTGTGTAGGTTGCTGCTGCTTGTCA